CAAATAAATGTGTACCTGGCCAAATAAACTAAAGTTTTTTTTTATTATGCGATTATTACCAGAAAAATAATAATATGTAGCGCAAAATAAAGAGAAGGAAAATAATAACCGGTCAAGCGCTAAATACAAACAGAAGAAAAAGAAATCATAAGCCAATACGCGCTAAACTGCACTTAAATTATAATGAAGGGAGAAAAACTGGAATCCGCGGAAATTCTAACATACAAAATGATACAGAGAAAAAGGGGAAAAACCGGGGGAATCAGACAGGTTGTCTACAGATGACACTCGGAGACAGCAAGTGTGGCACAATATGCATGAGGGTCATACCTGCTCGACTTGTGGCGATGCCCACGAAGGCATGCCACGGCCGCCTTCACGAGAGCAAAGGACAGCTGGGCTCTGATCAAAGCCATTGCCACAGAGAAAGGCTCACCATTCTTCTCAGACTTGATGCCTGCAATGCGGCCAAAGAGAGTGGAGGCTGCCTTCCCTTGGCCACCAGTCGTACTGAACGCCACGGGGATGAAGGAAGCGTGCTCAACGTTGAGAATGCGACTCTCATAACTCCTCCGTTTCTCCTCTTTGTGCTTTCTGTAGCTGCCAGCGATCGTTGGTTTCCGATTTGAGGGGGCAAATGGGTTGAAAACCCGGACATCTAGAAAGGTCCTCTCAAACCGTCCACCGTGTAGACCGCTGACAACTACATCCAGCCGAGCTTGTTCTTCCGTGATGGTGGACCGCAGCGGAAAGCGCTCACCGGTCACAGGCTGGAGTTGCGGCTCAACATGAACATCATGTTCGACGTCGCGTAGCAGTGCTGCTGTTAGATCTCGGAGCTCGTTGTGCCGTAACGAGGGATAGCCACCGATGGCACATGACATGGTATGGGTGGTCGAGAATGGCTTTCCACACGCGCATGTTGCAGGTAAGCGATCAGGATGTCATCCGTACCTGAGGCATATGGCATCGCGGAAGGCGCCCTTGTGCAGGGTGAAGCCATGCCTTCGCAATGGCCGACATATCAGCCAACTTGAGGCGCCTTTCTCCGAGGCAAGCTGTAGGGTGCGTTTCAGGTCTGGCTCGAGTTGGGCCATTAGGGTGACGACATGGTCCTTCTCCTTCTTTCCAGCGGCTGTCCTAGCTGTTGCCTTCAGTACCCGCATCCGCCCTGATATGCCTTCCACGGATGACTGCTGTTGTATGATGTTATCAATGAGTGGATGGGTGATGGACAGAGAGCGCTGATGTTCATCGTTCAGCTGACTGGGGTCAACAATACCGAGACCACCGAGACGACACGGAAGGTCAAGCACAGCGCGGATCACCGAATTCAGTGGGTGACGCCCAGTCAATGCCAGAATGAAATCATTGCGGATCACATCCTCAAGTGGCTGTAGCAGATCTGCTGCTCCTGGTACAGTACGAACCAGAAATGACCATTTGTGCTTGAGGCCTTGGCTAAATGCAGTGTAGGCGGCTTGCGGTTGGCTTAGACCCTAAGTGCATAGGTTGCGAGGCGCTTGACTTCTTTGCACCATTGCTCTGCCTTTTGAGCGACGTACTGATTGCGATACTGCTCTGTGCCCAGGACAGCTCCAAGATGTCGGTGACCGTCCGCAGTTACGCGAACTTCAGTGTCGGCGAACACTTCCCGCGCGATGTTGAGGAACTGTGGTTTGACGAGTAACACAGACTTTGCAGCATTCGTATAGTAGCCGTAAGCTGGACCACGCGTTTCCAGGATAGACCACCATTCTCTGAGACGAATTATCTTACTTGCAGCTGTAGAATCATCAGCGTACGACGCTTGTACGGCGTTGGCTGCAGCGGCTTCGCGGATTAATGGCAACGTCCCTAGAGCATACATCACCATGGCGAGGGGATCCCCCTGCGTTGTGCCCTCACCTGGCCAAATAAATGTGTACTTGGCGGATTCGGAGCGCGCCACGAACGAAGAGGCTTCCATTCGTGAAAACGAGCTCTCCGCAGGGACTCTGACGAATCCTCGAACCCAGGTGGCGAATCAGCATTCGTTTCGTATCCGTATGCGGGGTGCGAAAGGTCCCTATATCTCTCTTCGCCCCAACATGCAGATTCCGGCGTATGTGAACACATCTACGAACAACTTTTTTCGTGTACGCTACGAAGGCCAGCCTGCAACCTGTCGTAATTACGTAAATGCTCCCAACCGGGACATATCGCTGCAGCTTGCAAACTCGCCACAGGAACGACATACGCCAAGCAAACCGCGCACACCAGAACAAGTGCAACTGCAACTGTCGGAGTGCAACCTGGTGAACTTAGGCAGTGTTTACATGAGGCGTTTCAACCCGGGTCAGATTTCAACCCGCCATGTGCATAAAATGAATGGCGCGTTTACATGACGCATTGCGCTTGACCCGAGTTGAAATTTCGCCCCGGGTTGATTTGGTTGATTTCAACCTCCCCCCAAGGGGAGGGTTGAAATCAACCCGGGTCAAGAAAATCGTACAAACGTACTTCTGTGTGTATCTCGTGCCTGGTTTGAACGGCACTGCAGATGCAAATTTCGCGCGAACGGATTCACGTGACCATACCGGACTGTATAAGTGGACTTTTGGCGGCATATCAGTATTTGACCCGGGTCAACTGTCTTCATGTAAACGCTCACCTCTTTTGTCTATCCTACAGACTTTCAACCCGGGCTGAACTCGACCCGGGTTGAAATTTCTCATGTAAACACAGCCTTACAGTACAGACCGGAATCCAAAATGAGTCGCCAGACTCGGCACGCTCCAGTAGCCAGGTAGCAGCAGGCCCAGCACCAGCCCGACTACACTCTCGAGTATTGGATGTAGTACGAGTGCAACTCCTGTGGGGTCAAATGTTGGAAAACCCGCAGTCAGCACTGAAGTTGAAAACTACGAAAGTCGATGAGGGGACTACGGAGGGTACTTCAGCGTTGAAAAACCTGATAGATACTGAGCCAGACATGTCGTCCGCACAGGGATTGCTTTCAAGCATGACAGCACACCCCAGAACTCCCCTCGCGGACGTCGAAGTAGACATTGCAGAGCGAGATCTAGAACGGACAGAGCGACTCTTATCAAAAGTGGCATCAAACATCTACACCGAAGCGATCCACACTTGGTTCAGGCCTGAACGTCGAGGCAGGAATGCCAGCACTGAGTCCTCACCAGAGTTGGCAACTGGGGTGAAGAAGAAGGATTCCCGGAAACTAACAAATCTAGCTCCAGGCTCACGATTTAGTCCGCTTGCCAGAGTCTGATCGTGACTTTAAAAAAGGATAAAATAGAAAAATGCAGAACTATAACTATAATGTCACACCCCCAGCACCACCTACCCCCTCGGTCCAGTCACTCAGTGTGGGATTTCTGAATGTGTGTAGTGTTCGGCGGAAGGTAGCAGAAGTTCAAACGTTCATCTCAACACGAGGCATTCACGTTCTCGCAATAGCCGAGACATGGTGGACCCCGGATGTGTCCGATCAGGAGTTGTCCATCCCGCACTTCAAACTATACAGAAGAGACAGACCTGATCAGCAAGTTGGCGGAGTTGCTGTGTGCGGTCATGAGTCACTGGCTGTTCGACAACGGGCCGATTTAGAGTGCGAGCTAGAGATGCTGTGGCTGGACATTCTAGCCCCGGGTCGACATGGAACGCTCCTCGCCTGTTGTTATCGGCCGCCAAATAGTTCTGCTGCCTACTGGACAGCACTGGATCAGAACATCGAGGAAACTGTTCAGGGATGTCAGCAGTCCACTGTGCTACTTGGCGACTTCAATGTTGATTTTAGCAATCCAACTTCTCCATCTGCATCCGCTTTGTACAACATACTTTCCCACTACAATCTCTGCAATTATGTTACATCTCCAACACGAGTCACGGCAACATCATCCACGATGCTAGATTTGTTCCTCTCATCCTCCCCATTGGATGGTACCTGTGAAGCAATACACTTAGACATAAGTGATCACTTTGCTGTGCCGGCCCGGCTGAGCATTCACACACACCAGCACGTGTCATTGTCAGTAAAAACCACGGTTCATTCGGTTCATAAGCAGATGACATCCATATTATTCGTCATAAGATCAAAGTCACTGAGCGGAATGAATTCGGCGGAGTTTCACAAGAAACTGCTCTCAGTACTGTATTTGATCACCAAGGCGAACAAAGGCCAAGAACGGCAAATAAATTCAAAAACAAACAGAACGACGACCAGCCAGCCGTGAACAGGAGATGGAATGCAAAAACAACAAATGTGGCTTTCAAAAGGGATGCGCTGGTTGCTTGTTGCTTTTCTTTCTCGTTGCCAAGTCGATTTCTATTGTAACGCCGTTTGTTCCGGATTTTGTACCTGTACCTAGTGTGGTTGCCACCTGATATACATCATGAACATGTAAAACATATTATTGGTTATTCCAAGTGATATGATGTTGATGAGTGATCTGCAGACCTACGAAAACAACTTCAGATCAACAACTGGCTTCTTCTGTTAAAAAAACAAGCTTATACGGAACCGGACAGCTTCTAGAACATTCAACTGCCTCACATAACTAGCACGAGAAAGAACAGAGAATTAAGCTTCACCCAAACGGTCCGGACGAGATAATAGAGAGGTTCCGCACTACGTAAAGTTGAGTACCTTTCCGTTAGTGGGCGGGAAAAACCCGTGAATTCGCGAGTTTGCACTCCACTTACGGAAAGTTGTCTACGTAGAGTACGTAGATAGTGCTCTGATAACGTAGCTGGTCCGTAAGTGGATTGGGGTACAAATTTATGACTCTCTCCCGGGATCCCCAGGTCGATCTGGTCGTACACTGCCATGTTCGGAGTTGCCAAGGGCAGCTACGTGATTTGAAAACTCTGTATGGCGGAACCCAGATCGGCATGCAGTTTACGTAAGACTTTCCGTAGATCGACTACGGTTTTTACTAACGTAATTACGTTATGCGGAACCTCTCTAATAACTGATGGTTTTGTCTTCTTTCACATAG